ATGGCGTCTACCACTGACGATGCTGATTACAATGCCGGCGAAATGTCTGGGAATGCACCAAGTCAACAGTCCGATGCTGGAAATTATCATTGATACTATTGCAAAAGAAGCAGAACTAGGTTCGTTTCATAGGTTCTTCTAATTTCCCCGACCAAATTTATTAGTTTGAAGCTAAACCAGCGCTAGAGAGTTAAAGGAAACTGCTATCTAACCTAAGTCCATTGTATGCATCATCATTTCCAAATGCTTATCATGGACGTGATACGTTCCCAGACGTTTCGCCAACTACGATGCCGGCGAAACGTCTGGGAATGTACCACGTCCACGGTCCGACTTTGGAAATAATAATGCATACAATGGACCGAGAACAAGGTGCGTTTCCTATAAGTCTTCCAACCAATATGACCAAGTTGCGAAAACAAGGTCAAACAACTTCTATATTATTTTGTCTTTGACTAAGCATGCTTGCTTGATCAACATTTAGTCGAATACCATTCATCGCGCTCCTCTCGGCTCATTTCCTCTTATGTTTACCACTCGCATTTGCATCTGCGGTTGGACATCGGCACTCTCATACAATGCCGACGTCCACAAAAAAGTCTTCCAGCGACCGTTTCGCAAGGTCCGCTTCCAGATAATTTCAATTCCTCCTCAGCGGCATCTCTGCGGTGCGCCTCTAACCAGTTCGTCATCATTGCGAGTCTTTGGCTTAGTAACACATCTATCACGCACAGCCAAAGGCAATCTAAGTTTCCTGCTCATACATTTCCATCATTCGTACACATAAATCTTCATTACAAGCAAATAAGTATATACGCCTTTTGCTTTTATGGAAGTTAAAGTCTAAATTCTTTTGTCCTCTATCCCACCACTCGCTTCGGCTTCGGCCCTCAGGGACCATACCTCAAGGATTCAGATCTGAATTACAAATAGTCCAAAAGTGTTGTATTTTTGGCATTCATTATTCTATAGTATTTGTGTAAATTTTCCTTTAAGGAACATTAATACTACTAATGTTTTCTATAAGAAAATATCTATAAATGCTTCCTTCCATCTTATTGAAATTATCCATTG